GGCCTCAGGGTGCACATAGCCTGGCACAAGCGTCTTGGTGACGTCACCGCCACTTAGTGGCGAATGGCGGTTGTTGTTGTTGTTGTTGAGTCTGTGTTAGTGACTATGTGTGTGATAGTGACTGTGTGTGTTAGTGACTGTGTGTGTGTTAGTGACTGTGTGTGTGTGAGGGGCTGGTAACCCCTCCACCTTCAATTAATTACCATTAAACCACGAGTTAAACTGAAATATGTAACTAATAAGCTTGTGCCGCAGGCCCCGGGGGACAGGCGTCTATGACGTCTCCTGGCCAAACCCCAATTGGCGGAGCCAGGAGATTGAATCTCTGCCCTCGGGGCTCCTCCAGAAACAACGATAAGCCACTACGGATGGCCACGTGGAATGTTCGAACACTCACTGCGGAGGAGAGGCTGCCGCTCCTCTGTCGGGAGCTGGACCGGTACCGCCTGGATCTCTGTGACATTCAGGAGGTCCAGTGGACCGGTTCTGGCTCCTGCCACCATGAGGGGTGGACAGTCCTCTACTCGGGGCAGCAGACTGCCAAACAACAGGGTGTGGCTCTTCTTTTGAACAAAAGAATGAAGGGGGCATGGGAGCATGGCGGTGAGGTGTGGGAAGCTGTAAGCCCCAGGCTACTTTGGGCTCGCCTTCCCATCAACCGGAGGCGAGGAGTGGTGGTCGTGGTTACTTATGCCCCCACCGAAGACGAACATCCGTGGAGGGATGCAGGCAAAGCGGATGAGTCAGATGCCTTCTATGACCTCCTGTCACAGGTGCTGGCTAAAGTGGCACCTCGGGATAGAGTCATTATGTTGGGTGGCTTCAATGCCCGAGTTGGTCATGATGCTGGCACCTGGTCTGAAGTGATTGGAGGGCATGGGCCAGATCAGCTCAGTAACAACGATAGGAGACTGCTGGATTTTTGTGCAGCCCATGGGCTTGTAATTACCAACACGCTGTTCCGGCATCAGTGCATCCACACAACATCATGGATGTATGCCGGGTCCAAGCAAGAACATCTGCTGGACTACATAGTGACGGACCAGCAGATGCGAGCCCATGTCCTTGACACCAGGACCTACGGCGGAGCTAATCTGCCCTCTGACCATCGATTAGTCATCTGTAAGATGCGCCTGCCATTCTTCCACTCCGGTGGTGGGTGTACACCCAGGACCCCATTCCAACCTAAAGTGGCCTGGTCTCAGTTATCTGATGAAAGTTGCAAGCGAGAATTTCATTATCGCTTGCGGCTGGGATTGGCATCGTCCCCGAGTCCTCCTGATGTCGAGGGTAAATGGGCGAGGTTTAGGACTGTGACTCATGTAGCAATGGCTGCTTTGGGTACGCGGTCCAGACCTCCCCAGAGACCATGGCTGACAGAGGAGGTGTTCAGGATGGTTGAGAAATAGCGACAGGCCCACTGTCATCGGCTACAGAATCCCACGTCAGATAATGAGGAGGCTGACCGCAGCCTTCGCTCGGAGGTGCTGAGAGCCATGAGGCGCTGCAAGGATGGGTGGTGGTCGCGGGTTGCTGAGGAGATGGAGTCTGCCTCAGTGGCCCGCGATCACAAATCTCTATTTAACTCCATCAAAAAAGTAACCTGCAGCGCTACACATATTAGCATCATTAGGGGAAAAACGGTGATCCAATCTCCGACCCCCAGGAACAGGTTTGCAAATTTGCTGAGCATTTATGTGAGGTCCTGGGGGAGGGAAAATCCCTCAGCCAGGAAAACATTGTGGCACAAAGTGAGGATGACCCTGCTGAGGCTGCGGTGCCTCAAATATTGGAAGACGTCACCCCCTATGAGTGGCTGGCTGAGGTGCCATCTGTTGAGGAAGTACTGAAGGCGATCTGGAGTCTGAGACCAGGTCCTGCACAGAGATGATCTCCCAAGCGAAATGCTGAGGGAGGGTGGCGTTTGTGCACAGACTGCCCTATATGACATCATAACAACAGTCTGGACCACTGGACGGGTTCCGCAGGATTGGAAGGATGCCCTGTTGGTCCCCCTCTTTAAGAAGGGGGACCGCACAGACTGTAACAACTACAGGGGCATCTCACTCCTCAGTGTGCCGGGAAAGGTCCTGGCAAGGATTATTCAACATCGCCTTGCCAGGCACGCTGAGGACAGGCTTGCGGAGCCCCAATGCGGTTTCAGGAAAGGGCGGTCCTGCACAGATGCCATATTTTCTGTCCGTCTGCTACAGCAGAGGTGTAGGGAATTCCAGCAAGACCTACATCTCTGCTTTATTGACCTGGTCAAGGCCTATGATACCATCAGTAGGACTGGGCCCTGGGTTGCTCTTCATGCTTTTGGAGTACCTGACCCTCTGCTCACGATCATTAAGGACCTTCATGATGGTGAGCGGGCCCGGGTAAAACTACGTGGCCGGGAGTCAGAGCCATTCCCTGTACACCTTGGGGTGCGACAGGGATGTCCTCTGGCTCCCACATTATTTAACATCTATTTTGACCACGTAGTTCGTGAAGCCTTCAATAGCTGTACCGGGGGAATCTCCATATGGTACAGATATAATGGGAGGCTGATCGATGCCCGGGTGCGGTCAAGGGATGACTCCCTATTGCTCAACGACGATGTATGCCGATGATTTGGTAATAGCTGCTCATTCAGAGGAGGAGTTGGAGACGCTGCTGCTGAGACTGGAGCGTGCCACTAAGAGGTGGGGCCTTACCATCAGCCCCACCAAAACTAAGAACCTGCCTGGGTATTTTGTACCATCGGACACTCCACCCCCACAACTCCCAATCGGTGATGGCGCAGTTGTGGAGAGAGTGGAGAGTTTCCCATACCTGGGCAGTGTGCTTATGACTGGCTCCAGTTTAACAGCAGAGGTCTCACTCCGAATCAGTCGAGCGGCAACATCTTTTCATCGGTTGCGTAACGCTGTGTGGAAGCTACCTGGTCTGTCGCTCCGCACTAAGCTTCAGGTCTTCTCGGCCACGGTCGTTCCCTCCCTTCTCTACGCTTGCGAAACGTGGACCCCCCTAATGGAACATCTTCGCCGGTTAGAAACATTTAGGCTAGCCTGCCTACGATCCATCCTGGGTTTAACCAGATTGGATTGTGTGAGGAGCTCACAAATCCTTGAAAGATCTGGGCAAGGTCCCATCGGTGAGCTCCTCCGGCGGGGAAGGCTGCGATGGCTGGGTCATGTAGCCCGCATGCCCAGCCACCGCATGCCGAAACAGCTTTTGTTCGGCTGGATTGAGGGGGCTAGGTGGGCGCGGCATGGGCTAGAGAAGAGATGGAGTGATGTGGTACAGGAGGACGTGGAGCTGAGTGGACTTGCCGATTACTGGTACAAGCGCTGTCAAGATCGGCCCCTGTGGAGGAGGCTCGTGAATGACGCTACTGGGCAGTTGGAGGTAGTCACCCTCCAACAACAACGAAGGGCGGAGGAGCGACGCTCAGAACAACGATCGGAGCGCCGGGTGGCTAAAGCACAGGAGGTTGGCACAGTAGGGGGCACAGGTGGTGCATCAGCCAGTCATCTCAGTCAGTCGACCCGTGGCACCTGGGTCTGCCCCGTGACCTCCTGCCAGCGGGCGTTCGACACTTCACGTGGCCTCAGGTTGCACATAGCCTGGCACAAGCGTCGTGGTGACGTCACCGCCACTTAGTGGCGAATGGCGGTTGTTGTTGTTTGTGTGTATTAGTGACTGTGTGTGTATTAGTGACTGTGTGTGTATTAGTGACTGTGTGTGTATTAGTGACTGTATGTATTAGTAACTGTGTGTGTATTAGTGACTGCGTGTGTGTGTGAGAGAGTCTGGGGAGCAGTGGCACAATCCGCTACGAACCTGGCGACACGGGTTCGATTCCCACTCACGACCAACAACAGCGGATGTTTGAACCAGTCCGGGGGCCTACCCGAGGTCGAGTCAACGTTAAATGAGTGCCCGATGTAGTGTGTAGACCTTCCCGATGGGGAGACAAAGGCGGCCGGGCGTGGTGATGGCCCCCCCTGACCACACTAACACGCACGGTGTCATGATCTCAGCCCGCCCAGCTCTGTCATGTAACATATCGAGTTTGAGTGCAATGCCACGAGCATTGGTCTCACGTGCAGTGCGGCTGAGTGAGAAAATACTGAACCAAGAGATCACTTGAAGAAAGAAGGGATCTCAGAGGTAGCTCTATGATCTCCTCTTCCGCGGGCCGTTTTTTTTAACACGAAGGGATTCTCCGTCTCGTGACGCCGTTCGCGCAGTCGGGAGTAAAACACCTGGGGGAGGGGGGTGGGGGGAGAATACCGTCCCAAAATCAATCAATGCCTGTGACGTCGTCAAATCAACGTCTGTGACGTCATCAAACAACGTCTGTGACGTCGTCAATTCGACTTGACCTCCCCCCATCCGTTGTAGAAGTGCAATTTCCAGACGTCGCTGTCTGTCGCCTCACGGCCAACAACAAACCGTCGAATGTTGAACGACAGGAGCATGGATCGCGAGGATAGCAAACATCTTCTCGATGGGTGAGAATAGGCCACGAGGGTTTTGCGATGTTCCGCGTTTGTTTGTTCCCCCCCCCGCCTCTACTTCGAGGCACAGCCGTTGAGTCTAAAAAAAGGCAAAGAGCCCTCGGAAAGGCTTAACAGACTGCTGGGGCAAGTGCTGTTATCGAGTAGCACCGAGAAAGGTCGGAACGGCACACGAGGAGCGATGGGTGGCCAGCACCACGCCCGGCCGCCTTTGTCTCGCGAGTGGCGATGTTTTTACACATCGCACCAGGCACTCATTTGAGGCTGAGCCGACCTAGGGAAGGAGGCCCGGGACCGGTTCGGATAAATCGTCGCTGGTGTTGGCCGCGATCGGAAATCGAACTCGGGTCGCCGGGCGTCGAAGCGAGCTGACCGCGACACCGCCGCCACCCCAACACACGCACGCGCACACACACACGCACGCGCACACACGCACGCGCACACGCACGCGCACACACACACACACGCGCACACACGCGCGCACACACACACGCGCACACACACGCGCACGCGCACACACACACACATGCGCACACAAACACGCGCACACGCACATCGCCTCTCTTAATGTTTAACCTCAGCATCGGGGGCTCAAAACAGGGACTGACCATGAGTCGGGCCACTTCGAGGAACGCGTGCAGTGGGTTACATACGGACGTTCTGGCTTCTTCCCATGGGCAAATGTGGACATGCCGCTGCTGTTCTGAGCCACCCAACGCAGTAGAGCGCTCCCTGGCGTTCATTTGTGTGGAGCAGACAGCGCACATTCGGCGTGTGGACTCACTTTAGGTCGGCTCAGCCATAAACGAGTACCTGATGCGGCGCGTAAACATGAGCCGGGCTGGCTCGGTTCTGGACAGACCAGCCCCTCGTGCGCCGTGCCTGCTTTGCATAGGCGCTCGCTCGCTCGCTAGCTCACGGCACTTGCCACAACAGCCGGCGTAGGCTACACGGGGAACCTTTGTCTGTGCATCCATGTGCTGTGCAACGCAGGTGAGCAGCATTTGCAACTTCCCTTCGAAGTGCAAATAGCGCTACGGGCATCTCAAAAGCAGCAGCAGCGTCGTCATCGTCGTCCGTCATCATCATCATCAGCAGCAGCAGCAGTAGCATCGTAATCATCGTCGCCGTCATCATCAGCAGCATTGCTCGAGATCTTCAAAGCTCCGCGGCGCTTGAGAGGCGTCGCGCTGCGTCGCCACCGCGGTGAGAACGCGGAGCGCGTAGCCGTCGCTCGCCGGGAGCCCCTGGCGCGATCTCGCCCCACGGTGAGTGCCTCCTCCTGCACCCGCCGGTGCCCCCCTGCACCTCACTGCCACTGGGCGCCACCGCGCAGCCCACGGCACTCACCGCGACGCACGGCGGCTGTGCTGTGCGCGTGCCGCCGCCGCCGCCGCAACCACGCGTGCCACACATCGCTCGCAAAGCAGAACGAACTACCGACACGCTGACCGCACCACCAGCAGATGGCACTACCAAGCGCACCCACACGGCTGCCCGCTGCGCGCCAAATCGGCCGTGCGGTCAGCACTGCCACCGAGACGCAGCCTGCACTGCGACAAGCATCTGCACTTCCAAACACACACTGCCCCAGGACACCACTTCCACGTCGTGTGAACGACCGCTACATGGTGGTGGTGGTGGTGGAGGTGGTACCACCGCTCGGACTAAAATCGCGCGATTTGAGTCGTCACTAGCACATTGCACGCACGAGCAACCACCCACCGGGCACCGCGACACCGTCTCAACAAACTCCATTCCGCCTGCACTACCAGCAGCGTCTCGCAGCCCTACGCCATCCCTGCCTGCGCTATCGGCGCAGCGCCTGCGGCTAAGCAGGGGGGCTGTATCTGCGCAGCCACCACACCACAACCTGCACCGCCACACCACGGCGCCGTAAGCACCCACGGCAATGTGCAGAGGCTGACGGGCGCAGCCCTGAAAGTGCTCGCCTAGGCCACCGCTGGCGGAAGCGCCTCCAGCAGAGGGAGCTCGAGAGAGCCGCCTCCGATCAGTATTCGGTCTGATCTCGGACGCCTTGGGTCAGACGCGGCGACCCACGCTTTACCCCACCACACGCGGCCTGCCCACCGTCTGATTTGTGGTTGTCCCCTGCTGGGTGGACAGAGGTGGTTCACAAACTTGCCCCGCTGTCTCACATGCCGCCCCGGGAGATTGAACGGTTGAGCTCAGAATTACGAGTCCAGTGTGCGAACCATTTTCACCGCAGTTGCATTCCATGACGGTTCATATGCTTTGAAAACCGGTTAGCCCGTGAAACCGGTTTACATATCGACTTACATCGGTGAGCGTTGTAAAGTCAGGGATATTGTGCGTGTGTGTGTGTGACAGACGAGGCTGTCTCTCGTTCCCCGTGTGTGAGTGTTTTGTGCAATTCGCCTAAAGGTTGAAGGATGAGTTACCAGCCCCTCGCACCGCCTGCCTGCTCACAACACACCACACTTCACGTGGACTCACAGTGCACCTAGCCTGGCACAAGCGCCACGGTGACATCACCAAATACCCACATCGAGACGTCCGGTTTTCTTTTTTTTCGGCCACACGCCTCGATTCTCAAGCGCCGCCTGAGATTTGAAGAAGATCTCGGGCAGTGCTGATGATGATGATGATGGCGACAACGTGAGATGCCCGGAGCGCTATTTGCACATTTGAAGGGAAGTTGCAAATGCTGCTTGCCTGCGTTACAGCGCACATCGATACACAAAGGTTCCCCGTGTAGCCTACGCAGGCTGTTGTGGCAAGTGCTGTGAGCTAGCGAGCGCCTATGCAATGACCCCAGTGTTGGAGCCACGATCCGAATCTTCCTATAATATCCGGAAGGAATCTGTATGAAGCTCTTTTTTCACAGATGCGCAGTAGTCACGGAGGAATGGTCCTGGGGGGGAGGGGTGTGGGGGGCTCTCTCTGCTACCTCGACGACAGCGAGGGGGACCGCGTCCCAACAACAACAACAGCAGGGTGATGGGGGGGGTCGAAGGCTTGCGGTAAACCCCCCCCCCCGGGAATGGAGCGACCGAAGACTCCGTCAAATCGCGAATGCGTCGAGGGCGCGGATCATCGTCAGTCGCACGTCGCTGATCGCGGTGATTCTGGCGGAGCGAGCAGGCGCCACTCATCCGTGATAGCAGCCCGCGTGGCGATAGCAGCCCGCGTGGCGATAGCAGCCCGCGTGGCGATAGCAGCCCGCGTGGCGATAGCAGCCCGCGTGGCGATAGCAGCCCGCGTGGCGATAGCAGCCCGCGTGGCGATAGCAGCCCGCGTGGCGATAGCAGCCCGCGTGGCGATAGCAGCCCGCGTGGCGATAGCAGCCCGCGTGGCGATAGCAGCCCGCGTGGCGATAGCAGCCCGCGTGGCGATAGCAGCCCGCGTGGCGATAGCAGCCCGCGTGGCGATAGCAGCCCGCGTGGCGATAGCAGCCCGCGTGGCGATAGCAGCCCGCGTGGCGATAGCAGCCCGCGTGGCGATAGCAGCCCGCGTGGCGATAGCAGCCCGCGTGGCGATAGCAGCCCGCGTGGCGATAGCAGCCCGCGTGGCGATAGCAGCCCGCGTGGCGATAGCAGCCCGCGTGGCGATAGCAGCCCGCGTGGCGATAGCAGCCCGCGTGGCGATAGCAGCCCGCGTGGCGATAGCAGCCCGCGTGGCGATAGCAGCCCGCGTGGCGATAGCAGCCCGCGTGGCGATAGCAGCCCGCGTGGCGATAGCAGCCCGCGTGGCGATAGCAGCCCGCGTGGCGATAGCAGCCCGCGTGGCGATAGCAGCCCGCGTGGCGATAGCAGCCCGCGTGGCGATAGCAGCCCGCGTGGCGATAGCAGCCCGCGTGGCGATAGCAGCCCGCGTGGCGATAGCAGCCCGCGTGGCGATAGCAGCCCGCGTGGCGATAGCAGCCCGCGTGGCGATAGCAGCCCGCGTGGCGATAGCAGCCCGCGTGGCGATAGCAGCCCGCGTGGCGATAGCAGCCCGCGTGGCGATAGCAGCCCGCGTGGCGATAGCAGCCCGCGTGGCGATAGCAGCCCGCGTGGCGATAGCAGCCCGCGTGGCGATAGCAGCCCGCGTGGCGATAGCAGCCCGCGTGGCGATAGCAGCCCGCGTGGCGATAGCAGCCCGCGTGGCGATAGCAGCCCGCGTGGCGATAGCAGCCCGCGTGGCGATAGCAGCCCGCGTGGCGATAGCAGCCCGCGTGGCGATAGCAGCCCGCGTGGCGATAGCAGCCCGCGTGGCGATAGCAGCCCGCGTGGCGATAGCAGCCCGCGTGGCGATAGCAGCCCGCGTGGCGATAGCAGCCCGCGTGGCGATAGCAGCCCGCGTGGCGATAGCAGCCCGCGTGGCGATAGCAGCCCGCGTGTTTAAAGAGACTCCAACTCAGATGGATGCCCTGCAATAGCTGACAAACACATTGGACGTACAGCTGTAGGCCTCTTGTTGCTTTTTATTTTTTAAACGCCATTGGGAAGATGAAGAATCGACGAGTGGCTGCTGCTGTTGTTGTTGTTGTCGTTGTTGTTGGGTGACAGATGTGGTAGTGTCGCCGTGCTGTGACCCGCGTCCCCACGAGCTCATCACCACCGCCGCCACCATCAATGTCCATTGCTCAGATTTGCGGTCACGCTTTTACCGAATCACAATTATTTGTTTGACATCTTGGCGAATGGCAGCGTCGCGTAAAACCAAATTCTTCATCGTCAGCCATGCTCAATCCACTTCTGAATGAAGGCTCCCCCCGCCATCTCTCACGATCCTGCGATGGTAAGGAGTCGCGGCGTGTGCCACCACCTGTGCCGCACCGCGCCACGTGGCCTCACGTGGCGCGCGCTTTGGACAAAGTCCGTGCCACGTGGCCCGGCGCTAATTGCTCAGGGCCACGTGGCCCCGGCGCTAATTGCTCAGGGCCACGTGGCCCGGCGCTAATTGCTCAGGGCCACGTGGCCCCGGCGCTAATTGCTCAGGGCCACGTGGCCCGGCGCTAATTGCTCAGGGCCACGTGGCCCGGCGCTATTTGCTCAGGGCCACGTGGCCCGGCGCTAATTGCTCAGGGCCACGTGGCCCCGGCGCTAATTGCTCAGGGCCACGTGGCCCGGCGCTATTTGCTCAGGGCCACGTGGTCCGGCGCTATTTGCTCAGGGCCACGTGGCCCGGCGCTAATTGCTCAGGGCCACGTGGCCCGGCGCTAATTGCTCAGGGCCACGTGGCCCCGGCGCTAATTGCTCAGGGCCACGTGGCCCCGGCGCTAATTGCTCAGGGCCACGTGGCCCGGCGCTAATTGCGCCGCGCGGCAATTAAGGGTCGCTACCCGAACGATGCCCAGCTCCCCTGTCATCGCGTCTGCCTCTTAATTCTGGTGACTGAACGACTCGTGTTGTTGCGAGCCCTTGCCTCCTGCCTCCCTCGTACCCTCCACCCCCATCTCACCCCCACCCCGCGTCGTGATCTACACGGCAACAGATTGCCGCCATCAATGTGGCCGCGTGCGATTGGATATCAGCGAGCGAGTCGATCGGCAGGCTGCCCGCGTGCGATGGCGTTCAGTGTGGGTACTCGATCCCGCCTCTCTTCGGGCGCCGTTCTCTCCTTTTCATCATTCATCGATCACCAGTGAGATCGTCACCAGTGTAATCATCATCATCATCATCAATCACCAGTGAGATCGTCACCAGTGTAATCATCATCAATCACCAGTGAGATCGTCACCAGTGTGATCATCATCATCATCATCATCAATCACCAGTGAGATCGTCACCAGTGTAATCAACATCAATCACCAGTGAGATCGTCTCCAGTGTAATAATCATCAATCACCAGTGAGATCGTCACCAGTGTAAGCATCATCAATCACCAGTGAGATCGTCACCAGTGTAATCATCATCATCAATCACCAGTGACATCGTCGCCAGTGTAATCATCATCAATCACCAGTGAGATCGTCACCAGTGTGATCATCATCATCAATCACCAGTGAGATCGTCACCAGTGTAATCATCATCAATCACCAGTGAGATCGTCGCCAGTGTAATCATCATCAATCACCAGTGAGATCGTCACCAGTGTAAGCATAATCAATCACCAGTGAGATCGTCATCAGTGTAATCATCATTATAATCAATCAACAGTGAGATCATCATCATAGTCAATCACCAATGAGATCATCATAATCAATCACCAGTGTAATCAGCATCATAATCAATCACCAATGAGATCATCAGAATTCGTTGCCGTTGCTCGACTGCGCGCGCACGCCTCGACTCACGAACAG